AAGAGTTATCAAACATCCGATCACCGATTTCCCAGGAAATAATTGCCGACATCTTAGTTCTTTTACCGACCCTACCCCATCAGTCCTTACTACACCTACAAATATCACGTTAACAGCCAGATGCCCTTTGGGTCTAGTGGTTAGTGACCCTAAATGCTACGCCGGAGGTCGTGGGTTCGATTCCCACCCAGGACAAATAATTGTGTGACGAGCACGGTCATTTTTTCTATGTCTGGGTGTACTTTATCTATAAAATATATGTATTTAGAAATATATAAGTATGTTTATCAGCAGTATGGTTACCATAGCACAGGCTCTGCAGGCAGACCTAGCTTGTGATCATTTTTAAGTTTTAGACCTTTCGCGAGTCTTGCGCTAGCGAAATAATAATAACTAACTAGCAGTGGTTTTGTAAATCAGTCACAGTTGTGATGATATGATTTATAAATCATATCACTTATCACATGTCACTGTGATTTTAATTTATCTATAATATGTATGTATTTAAAAATATATAAGTATGTTTATCAGCAGTCTGGTTACCATAGTACAGGCTCTGCCTAGTTTGGGACCAGACGGCCGTGTGTGTGTGAGGTATATTATTATTTTTCTCTTTATTTACTTTATATACATATTATTTACATTTTTAAACATACACTTTATAAAAAATTATAAAAAAATACATTTAAAAATATAAAAAATAGTAGACCACCGACATCGGGTACAGGGACCAAGACACCGGTGGTTAGGACTCCAAAGATAGGAACCTTCTCACTATACGAGCCGTGTCAAGGAGGACTGCCTTCTGCATCAGACCCTTGATCCAGCCGTCCAAAGTGAGCCTCTTAAGGTGTTGGTCGAGGCTCTTGGCTATCAATCCGTGAGCAGATACAACTATCGGAACAATGATCACTGAATCAACATTCCACATATCGACAATCTCGTGAGATAAATCCAAATATTTAATTTGTTTTTCTTTTTCATTTGTTTTTTCTTGTTTTTTTTTGTTTTTTTTTTTTATTATTTTAAGCCATCCCTAGTAGTCACTGTCAATCAGGTGACCCGTCTGCCATAAAGCAACTCTCATGTCCAGCAGTGGACTTCAATCGGCTTTTTAATGACTAAAGATGGTCATGAATGAAGACCGTTAAAGCTGTCACTATACCTTAAGCATCTAACGTATTAGAATTTGTTACTAGCCGATTGAGATGTTAAAAAACGTGCCGTCCGCTTGACAAATGTGATGTTAATGTGAGAAGCCATTACGGCCATACAACTGTACGGCCCAGTTCAAATGTTCACGTTCTTGTTGATGACCGGATGGTGTAGTAGTTTGTGTAACGGACTGATATGCCAAAAGGTCGCGTGTTCGATTCGCGCTCAAGTCAAACATTTGTGTGCATGGATTTGATTTGGTGTGGATGTTTCTATATATAATATGTATGTATTTACACAAAAAAATGTATATATGTATCAGTTGTCTAGTACCCATAGTACAAGCTCTGCTTAGTTTGGGAGGATATTATTATTATAAGAAATCTTGTTGTTGTGGTGTGTTCGTGTACTGGGGCCCAAAAGTAAATAAAATGTTTTATATATTTCTAATAACAATTTCAGTGGAGGTAAAATTGTTCAAACAGTTCTTATCAAAATCGATGTTTCCTTCTTTCTTGTAAAGTTTCGAAGTCTTAAATTCTAAAATAAAAAGCTACATCTTAAATTAGCAAATCACGTAAATATTATCTATACCTACATCTATACTCTATACAAATAAATGAAATTGGAGTGTCTGTTTGTAATATTAAAATAACCGCTTTTTACTAAATGCATATGTATGTTTACACGGTACATATGCCAAAATAACATTTTTTACAAGTTTTGTCTGTCTGTCCGTCTGTCTGTTTGTTCCGGGTAATCTCTGGAACGGCTGGACCGATTTCGACGGGACTTTCACTGGCAGATAGCTGATGACATACGGAGTAACTTAGGCTACTTACTTAGTTGCCCGCGGTTATAACAACAAAGACGGGTAACACCGCGGGTCTCAGCTAGTTGAATAATAAAGAATCGCTGTACTTGAATGTGTTTGATTATAACAAGGATTAGCCTTGTTTTGATTGAAATTAGTTATGTTTGCGAAACAGTAGATAGCCTTAACTCAGCAGTCGCCGTCATCTATGAGTATATAAGTGGCGTAAAATTAAGGCGACATTGTAACTCAGGGTCATGATATGGTGGAAAATAATGGAGTTGGAATATCAGTCATAAACACATATTAGTACGATTATTTGACTCCTCAGTTGCAGGCGTTTATGGGCGGTGGTGGTCCCTTTACATCAGTTGACAAAAAAACAGTGGCACTCTGGAAGTGCCGACACAAGTGAAAAATTGTTTTTTTTTTAATTATTACCGGGTTTTTTTGATTCGAAAAGTTCCGACATGGATATATATAATAATAATAATAATAATATTCTACCACATTCACACAACGCCATCTAGTCCCAAACTAAGCAGAGCTTGTACTATGGGTACTAGACAACTGATATAAATACACATATACTTTTTTTTTTGTAAATACATAAATATTATACATACATTAATACATAGAAACATCCAGACCAAATCAAACATTAAATGTTCATGCACACAAATGCTTGACTTGAGCGGGAATCGAACCCGCGACCTTTGGAATAGCAGTCCGTTACACAAACCACTACGCCATTCGGTCGTCATATCTATGTTGTAAGTATATACACAATATATGTTTATATTGTATTATATTATTATCAATGTATTTCAACACAAAATCAACTCGTGTAAACGGGATCAATATATGTACAATATACTTATATACAGAGGTGTCGGTAACGGTAACAGTGTCGCGAGATCAATGGTTTTTTTCTATCTCAAAATATACATTCTTTTTGTTGTTCAAAAATGCCCAACGCGCCTAAAGAAAACGATTTTTTGGGGTTCAATTATGTTCCTTAACGGCAGTCGAACGGGCGAAGGTAGTCACTTAACGGCAGACCATTCTTCTCATTTACCAGCCTATAACAAAAAGCAGTCAACCACTGCTGGACATAGGCCTCTCCCATTTCACGCCACATAGACCGATTTAAAAAAATAATAATAGAACGCTTACTATATATTTGAGCTATCCCTGATCATAAAATTACAATCTTGGGCGATAGTTGTCAATAAATATGTATATTTATCCGGATAGCCGGTTACCGGACAAACCACTATTCGTTTCATCACTATCACTACTAACATACATAGCATGTAGACTAAATCAACACACTTAAATGTAACGTATTTTTTGCTTTAATCGACACGGTTTATTTTGTTTTTGTCTGTCAGTAAGAGATATGCACCGTTATTCTGTGAATAGGTAACTCTTGAATGCTCGAATTTGACTACTAATTGTGTCACTATGACAGATGAGAACTACGGTGTTATAATAATAATAATAATAACAAACAAACAAATACAAATAACAAATAATAATAATAATAACAAATTAAATATTTGGATTTATCTCACGAGATTGTCGATATGTGGAATGTTGATTCAGTGATCATTGTTCCGATAGTCGTATCTGCTCACGGATTGATAGCCAAGAGCCTCGACCAACACCTTAAGAGGCTCACGTTGGACGGCTGGATCAAGGGTCTGATGCAGAAGGCAGTCCACCTTGACACGGCTCGTATAGTGAGGAGGTTCCTACCTTTGGAGTCCTAACCACCGGTGTCTTAGTCCCTGTACCCGATGTCGGTGGTCTACTATTTTTTATATTTTTAAATGTATTTTTTTATAATTTTTATAAAGTGTATGTTTAAAAATGGAAATAATATGTATATAAAGTAAATAAAGAGAATAATAATAAAAAAGCTTTATTTTAATTCCACACAAATTACACTACAGATAATAAAATAATATACTTAAATTCTACTTTATACTGCAAAATATATGATACCGTAAAAAAAATTATATAGGTACCTTATATATTTAAACATAAATTTTACGAAATGTATGTGGTCCTCCTGCCGCTAAAAGCCTCCTCTAAAGCATTCCATTCCTTCTTTAATCGACACGATTTATTTTGTTCTTGTGTCTGTCAGTGAGAAGTGAGATGAGCCGTTATTCTGTGAATAGGTAACACTTCAATGCTCAAACTTTGGACTACTAATTGTGTCACTATGACAGATGAGAACTTCGGTTACTCATCATCTGCCTAACCTTTTCCCAATTTTATTTGGGGTCGGCGCAGTATGTATAATTTCTCCATTCTACTCTGTCATGCGTCATCTCACTGTTTACTCCCTTCCTAGCCATATCCTCCCTGACGCAGTCCATCCACCTTTTCTTCGGTCAGCCTCTTCTCTTGTACCCTTCAACTATGAGAACTTCGGTGAGGTATTTTATGTTATAGTAACCGAAGTTCTCATTACTATAACATAAAATACCTTTCGATGGCCAACCTCTTTCTATTTTAAATATGAAGTATTGTATGCTGTTACTTATTTAACTGCTGAGCTAAGGAGTTTATTTTTAGTTGATCTAGTGGTTAGTTCAAATCAATATTGACTGTCGAGTATGATCATAGTTGTACTCTCTAGTTATAAATTTATCTGTAACTAGCTGAGACCCGCGGTGTTACCCGCGTTTGTTGTTATGACCGCGAGCAACGCCGCGGGGCGAAGCTAGTTTAAAAAAAGTAGCCTAAGTTACTCCTTATGTCATCAGCTATCTGCCAGTGAAAGTCCCGTCGAAATCGGTCTAGCCGTTCCAGAGATTACCCGGAACAAACAGACAGACAAAAATGGTAAAAAATGTTATTTTGGCATATGTACCGTGTAAACATACATATGCATTTAGTATAAAGCGGTTGTTTTAATATTACAAACAGACACTCCAATTTTATTTATTTGTATAGATATAGATAGAAACGAGTATATAATAAACAAATAAAAGTTTTCGAATCAAATTATTCAACGATGGTACTTGTACTCTTGTCAAAGTATGTTGAACAAACCTCATCATGTCACTTATACCTGAATAAGTGGTATTGTAGAGCCTTCATATATTTAAAAAACTACGCAGAACAACTGCACTGCAGTGAGAAGGAAAACTTGACACAAACCCTATACGAACCCGTCCTGCCAGCGTGGTATAGTAGGCCAAAACCTCCTTTCTAAGGAGAGGCCTATATCCAGCAGTGGACTATTAAATGCAGTATTGAGTCTTTAATAATTTTGAGTTTTTTTAAATTTATATGTAAGGATATAAAATAGTTACAAAAGAGGAAGAAAGAAGAAATGTTATATTCTATCTATGATTGAATTCTAGAGTTTGGTAAATGGGTATTCAGTTTTAAACACGCATTTATTAACTTTACTTGCGAGCGGGAGGGACTCCAAGGGCAGCAACGCACTTTTGACTTTTGAGTTGCAGATGTCCATGGGCAGCGGTAGTTGCTTACCATCAGGTGACCCATCTGCTCGTTTGCCCCCTTATAACATGAATAAAAAAAAAGTATGTAGCGGAATCTTTGAAATCGCTTTTTCACCACTTTAAGAAGTCAGATTAATTCAAAATTCCATCAAAAGCCCTAAATAGGTGGACTATTTGCCATAGGCGTCTCATTAGGAAGGAGGTTTTATGCCTACTATGACACGCTGGCCAGACTAGGGCTTGTTACTAGTTTTCCATCTCTTTGCAGTGTCCTGCGTGGTTTGTTTAGTCGGCTCTTACGACACCCATAGAATGAATAGGGGTGGTAAAACGACTTTTTATTTACTATAAAATTGTTTTTTGTTCTTATTTGTTTGGTCTTTCGTTGCATATATAACTTGGGGATATATTTGTTTATGCAAAAAAATTATATGTATGTTTTATGTGATTTGAATATTTAAGTAAAATTGTATAGCTGCCCAGCAGTAAATATGGGATTTATGGGGCCTTTCACCAATAAATTATGCATATTCTTATTGCTTGATGGCCTTCCGAATAGTAATTTTTATGTCACAATATCACTATAACAATAAAATTCTGTCATTAATCGTAAAGAACCGTTTTCTAATTTTTCTATTGGTCACACTAAACATGGTCAATATAAATAAGTGTTTTTAATGTTACCAATAACTATATATAAAATAACTAACCAAAAAAGAAGAAAGAAACTGACAGTAATATATTAAAACATCAAAATATATTTTTAAATTTACTGGTTATGTTACTGTAATAACTTAATGTTAATTTTTTTTTACATTAGGCAACGAGAAGGAAGTATTTTTAAAGAATTGGTAAACAGAAAAAAATGACGGCCGGATGGCGTAGTGGTTTGTGTAACGGACTGCTATACGCAAAGTCGCGGGCTCGATTCCCGCTCAAGTCACACATTTGTGTGAATGAACATTTAATTTTTGATTTGGTCTAGGTGTTTCTATGTATAATAAGTATGTATTTACAAAAAAATATTTAGTATAATATTTGTATATTGAATAAAATATTTTGAATAAAATAAAATAAATATCAGTAGTACGTTCTGCTTAGTTTGAGACTAGACGGCGTTGTGTGAATGTGATAAAAAACATAATGACAAAACAGTATTTTTGACACAAAGATTTTTTAAATTCATATATCTTTGTTGCGAAAATGGGTAGGTATAATGATTATGGTGATATAATAATGTGGTATAGCTTCTCCATTATCGGCAATACTTAACATTTTATAAATTACATACTTTAGGAATCTAATTACAACATTGTTCATATTCACAAAATTAAGAATGTCAATATATCATATATTTATAACTACGTGTATAAACTAAATGAAAAGAGGTGCATTTTATGTCAGTTGAAAATAAATTACAATAAAATGTCACAATAATTTAAGATTAAAACAAAGAGACACAGATAATACATATTTTGTTCAGTCTTTATCATTTAAAAATTCGTCCAATGTATAGTACGCCTTTTTTAACAGAAATTGTTTAACCATATTTTTAAAATTAATGAAACATGTAATTTCTGTTAAGCGTTTAGGTAGATGGTTATAGACTCGTGGCGCCATGCAAAACACACTCCGATCCATCAAATTTTATTACAGTGCTTGACTTTACCCAAACCATAGACAGTCGTTCAGAAAACCATTTGAATGTTTTTTTTAATTTTTCTAGGGCTCTGAAGCCGCTAATATGTTGCATCGGCAAATTGTCATATTTGGCCGGTGGGATGGCGATCACGATTAGAGGGAAACAGGCCAGTCGGAAGGAGGCTCCCATACTGGTGGTTGCCCCACACTCCTCGTTCTTAGACAGCTGTATCGTGTACGCCACCAAGATGTCTTCTGTCATCGTAAGAAAGGAGAGCATGGACAATTATGTTGGAAGTATGTGATTTTTGGGTTATGGTGGTGGGTTATAAGGTGGTGGTTTTTATTGGGAAAGGAGATCGTTATGAAAGTTGGGCTGATGTGATATTTGCATAATGTGGTTTTGGTGGTGGTTTAATATAAGTGGTATAAGTGATATTTGCCGTTTCTTAATACAGGGATTTCATTTTTATGAGTTGGTATGCTAGTAGGATCGGAGTTCATAAGTGCAACAAGGTTAATTGAATTCATCATCAGATCATCATCAGAGAATGCTGAATGTACAACAAGTATTGATGCGAAACATCTAATGCGAACGTCAGACCACACCACGTTACGGGTCGCCACGCTATGTTTATGTAACATGTAATGTGGTGTAGTGACGCATCGCCACGTTTCTTTAAAAAACCTTACGATGGTGCAGAATTGAGTGACTGGGTGCACTAGATTTAAATGTGTATTATTAAAATTGATAAGTTTTTATAAGAAGGTGTATTATTAACCGATTGCGCCAAAAGGAGAATTATATTCTTCAAGTGTATGCATGTATATGTCCTTGCCTACAGAGCCTGCTGTAGTCTAAACGATTTGATGGATTTTAACCTAATAATACCTTCATAATACACTGCGTATTATAAAGTTATTATTAGGTGTTATATTTGAAAAAAATCAGTACCTATAAAAAACGTTTTTTTATGTGAAAACTGACGTGTTCGTAAAAATAAAATAATAATATGTTTTTTTTCTTTCTTCAATAATTACTTTGTTTCAAAGTGAGTTTAATTAATAAGGAAATCTAAATAATTTCAGATAGTAGGTATAATAAATACCTAAAGAATATTATATTGCAAGGTTTTTATTTTTCGTTACAACTATAAAATAAAATATATATAAATAAATAGACTATAAGAATGCATTATGTTATATGCGTCGTCTATACTTAGAATACTTGTGCAATTCTTATTTTAAATAATTATTATATCGTATGCATATAAAACTTATTCAATTTTTCTTAAAGGTAACGGTTACATAAATACCTCGTATAAATAAACGACGGACAGCCAAAGAACCACAGACATATCAGATAGACGGTTTTCTAGTAATGATTTATTTTATTGCCTTATAAATACAAAATTAAACAATCTTTTACAATCTTTTTACTGCTTAAGTGCTTTAAAGAAAGTTTTATTACCAGTCAATAATATATGAGCGTACATTAATGTTTATTTAAAGTTAATAGCGTATTTTCTATGCTTCATGCTTTTAAACTCTTCAAAGGCTTACTAGCCATGTCGAATCCAGACGGAATACCTTTTGTGAGTTTGTTTTGTCATAGATGTTTTGTTCATGACTTGAAAGACTTGAGTCTTTGAAACCATTTGTTTGGCTTTGTGTTCAATGTTTTGAAACGATATTTAAATGTTTTAGGACGTGTGTTTTTCAGTGATGATATTTCCATAAGTGAGTTGGTTGTATTTATGTAGAGGCACGTATTCTTAGAAGCTGCCGCGGTCAGAAAAGCCCGCATGTTCGTCGTAGTTACTGGTTAAATTTAAAAATTGGTTAATGGGGTAGATGAATGTAATATAATAATAATAATATATCTCACACACGGCCGTCTGATCCCAAACTAGGCAGAGCCTGTACTGTAGTAACCAGACTGCTGATAAACATAGTTATATATTTCTAAATACATACATATTATAGATAAATTACACCCAGACACAGAACAAATAACCGTGCTCGTCACACAATATTTGTTCTGGGTGGGAATCGAACCCACAACCTCTCCGGTTTAGCAGTCAGGGTCACTAACCACTTGACCAACAGACCCGTCCGTGTCAAATCAAATCATTATCTTTTTATTAAACGTCAAAACGATAAACGCGGATCATTTTTGTGTGTAATACTATGTCGTGACGTCATTTCTAGCAATACCTAATTGCACACCATAACGTTACTTAGATGTTGTACAGAAACTTTGGGTTTTACAGTGCGTTATGGACCCCCTCGGGCACGGTAGTGTAGGAGAGATGATCAAGTTCTGGTGCTGAACTAGCTTATACTTAATTTTAATATATATATATATATATATATATATATATATATTTACATAATAGGCTTTCTTTTACTTTAATAAAAAAAATTTAAATAGCTATTGTCAAATATTCATATTTAATAATCATTTGAACATATAAAACAATAAAAACTTATTTAGAATAATATTTTTAATGATGAATGGATGTTAATCGTTATTTTCGCTATCTGTGAACCAATTTGAATAATTATATTCTTTCTTGTTTGATTGGCTGTATTCAATATTGAATTAGAAGCATATAGTATACTCTATCTTTAAGAGTGGAAAGAGATGAAGAATACACGCAAAAAAATACAAGATTTATTAATAGGTTTCAAATGACGTTAATCGTAGACGTATCACGTCGCAAGCGTCACTAGCTTCTGCGTCACAAGGTACTGCTTGTGACGTGACAGAACGTGTGACGTCACTGTGACCAGTTATAGAAGCGACACATTAGCTTATCTATAGACATGTATAATATAGACACAATCCGTGTTTTGACGAATTAAGAATACGAGGAGTCACCATTTTTCCCGTAGATGTCGTAAGGGAGAAAACTACGCAGGACAACAGCACAGTAAAGAGAAGGAAAATTTTAAACAAACCCTATAGGTACCAACCCGTCTGGCCAGCGTAGTATGGTATGTCTATCAGTGGACTATTAAAGGCTGTTGATGACATACACTTATGGTAAGATTTTAAATTTCGTTACCATTTTGCTATTATTATGATTATTGATATTATTTCTAATATAAATTGGAAACTTTCTAAGGTAGGAAGAAGTCGTGTTTTAGACTAAAAAATCTCACAATATTAAAATACAACCAATATTACGTGTAAAGAAATAATATAATAAAAATTTAGAACATCAATATTATTATTATTATTCAATATTAAAACTGAAATAAGAAATATTATATGAATCTTTATAATTGCTTCTCTATAAAACGACTGGACGTGGCTAGCCAGACATCTTTTTGGTGTGTAACATCATCCGTTTCACTTGTCTGTATTCTCTGGGGGGACAGGGACGGAAGTGTGTTACAGGAAGCCATGGAAACACGCGGTATTTGACTAATGAGTTAGTTAAGTTTGTTTTATTTACGTTTGGAATTTTCTATTTAAGTATAGTGCACCTATTAGTCATTTCAACACTACTCTCAGGTAGACTGGCAGAGCATGCCTTTCTCATAAAGTTCACTATTGCACATTTTTTGTGCATAAAGCGTAATAAATAAATAATATTGTACCAGATTCACTCAACGCCATCTAGTTCCAAACTAAGTAGAGCTTGTACTGTAGGTACTCGACAACTGATATAAGTACTTTTTTTTAATATATACATATTATACATAGAAACACCCAGATCAAATCAAACACTAAATGTTCATGAACACAAATGTTTAACTTGAGCGGGAATCGAACCCGTGACATTTAGCATAACAGTCCCTTACATAAACCACTATCATGCGGCCGCTTTGTTACAGTTGGTCTCATACGGTATGTGAGATGTCAGATGCGACAACTATAAGACTACCTTGTTTTTTTTTATATGTACATTGGTACTTTTTGGAAAATAGCTGCTTCGGTCGTTGCGTATGTGTTTATGATTACTCTGTCCTGCTTTCTTAACCATAAATTTCACCATTAAAAAATTCCACTTGTAATTTTCTCATTGTACTTACAATCACTTTTACCACTGACATAAGAGAAATGTGACAGATGACACTAAAATTTGCCCATTAAAATTCTGATGCCCACTTCATCAAAAACAAATGGTGTTAATTAATGCCTTTTATTCAAAATTTAATTTAATATAATTACCTGATGGCTGCTAATAGAGGCAGAAGTACCTTTTACTGTAATTATAAGAAGGATTTATAGCGGTGCTGCTGGTGTTAAATAGGTGTATGTCGAAAAAGAGTTGATTAAAATGGCGGGAAGTTGATAATAATGTCAGGCTGTTTTGTTTATGGTGTTCGTTTTTTAGAACTAATATAAGATTATTTTTTTGAAGTGTTTTTCGTGATCTTTGTGAATCGGTAAAAGGTGTATTTGTTAAGTCGTAGATTATAAGTTTGATTGGTCCTTCGAGCCGTATGTAGTTTATAAAATTGTGAATATCAGTTTATTCAACATCACAGTACTTTCTGGACTAAATTGTTATTATATTAAACATACTATACGTAACTTACTTAACATAATTTAATTCTAACGTGAGACATGCTATCTCACGGCTTCATGACGCCATTATGCAGAGAAGGTCAAGGTTGATACGGTATTTTCATCTTTAATACCTTTGATTTATAACAACGAGGTTACAATGGAGGAGGATGCTACTGATGAAGACAATAACATAATATATACTTTTAAAGAATACTAGAAGCGTGAATCACGTTCAGCATAGGGCCTATCACGTTTTTTTTTTAATTTAATTAAGTAGCATTTATTATGATAATCTATAATATGAAATCTTTTCTGCCCCAGGATTCATGTTGTAAGTGTTGAAGGTCACTTTTGTCATTTTTGATCGAAGATCGAAATATAGAATTCATCAACAGCCTTTACTAGTCCACAACTGGACATAGGACATAGAGTGTCACCCCCCTATTCATAACGTGGGTGTCGTAAGAGCCGACTAGGGGAAAAAACTACGCAGAACAACAGCACTGCAGAGAGAAGGAAAACTTGACACAAATCCTTTTTTTTTTTTTTTTTTTTTTTAACGTGTGGAAATCCCCTCGGACCGTCACCCCTCCGGGGTTTGCGGCGGGGTGGTGTGTCGGACTCGGACCGACTAAAACCACACGGTGTGCCACTCTGCGCCTGTAACAGGAGGGATCCGGGAACAGCTGCTGTTAAGACATCCGGACCCCTCCTAGCGCCAGCCCGCTCCTGGTGCGGGCTCCGTCTCAATACATTTTCCTCTCTTTAGGCG